GGGGACAGGGCCCTGGAGGGGTGGGGACGCGAGGGGTGGGGACATGGGGGACATGGCCATGGAGGGGTGGGGACACGAGGGATGGGGACATGGGGGACATGGCCATGGAGGGGTGGGGACACGAGGGGTGGTGACATGGGGGACATGGCCATGGAGGGGTGGGGACAAGAGGGACACGGCCATGGAGGGGTGGGGACATGGGGGGTGGGGACATGGGGGACATGGCCATGGAGGGGTGGGGACACGAGGGACACGGCCATGGAGGACGGGAAACAGGTCATGATGACCCAATTCTCTTCCCAGTTCCCCTCCCAGTTCCTCCCAGTGCTTCCTGGGTCCTCTGCCAGTGCCTTCCCGAAACGCCTGGCAGTGGGCAGCCCTGAGCACCCGCTGGGCGCTGAGCACGGCTCCCAGTGCTCCCAGTCCCCCTCCCAGTGCTCCCAGTCCCATTCCCAGTGTCTCCCAGTACCCCCAGTTTCCTTCTCAGGGCCTCAGACCCACTCCCAGTGCCCCCAGTGCACCTCCCAGTGCATCCCAGTGCTCCCAGTTCCCCTCCCAGTGCTTCCCAGTGCCCCCAGTGCCCCTCCCAGTGTACCCCAGTGCCTCCCAGTGCCTCCCAGTTCCCCTCCCAGTGCCCCCAATGCACACCAGTGCTCCCAGTTCCCCTCCCAGTGCCCCCAGTGTCCCTCCCAGTGCCCCCCAGTGCTCCCAGTTCCCCTCCCAGTGACCCCAGTGCCCCTCCCAGTGCCTCCAAGTGCCCCCAGTGCCTCCCAGTTCATTCCAAAGGGCCCCAGTTCCCCTCCTAGTACCCCCAGTGCCCCTCCCATTGCTTCCCAGTGCCCCCAGTGCCCCTCCCAGTGCCTCCCAGTGCCTCCCAGTGCCCCACAGTGCTCCCAGTTCCCCTCCTAGTGCCCCCCGTGCCCCTCCTAGTGCCTCCAAGTGCCCCCAGTGGCTCCCAGTTCACTCCAAAGGGCCCAAGTGCCCCTCCCAGTGCCTTCCAGTGCTCCCAGTGCCCCTCCCAGTG